ATTATATTTGAAAATCTTTTCTTATAGTCTTCTACAATAGGTACATGTACCTACATTACTTGAAAAGGTTTATTAATCTTTCATGCTTTAGTGAGGTGTGAAGATCACTACCAATACAAGTATGAAATAATGCAATTCGGTAGCTTATTTAGTTCAAACCATTATGCTAAGCTAACCTAACACCTGGCTGACAATGGAAAATGTATTGGTATTTGGATATAACAAACAATAACCCAATGTGCCTTTTGAAAATAAGCTTAACCTGATGTACTGTCCATTACAGAGTACAAAGGCTTAATGGTGAATTATCAGCAAATTGAGTAAATGAGTCCAACTGCAATATTGAGCTGTACCACGGCGTTGTGTTTGCTGGGACATAATTTAGCTTGAAGAAAGAACATCCTGTCTTGTTGGGGCAAAAATATGATTTTTATGCCAAATGTTAATTCAGAGCAACTGGAAACTCACGTGACTTTCATCGTATCTTTTCTGCCACAAGACCTGGTTCAGTAACTGCACTTTTTGTATCTAAGAGTGACCTCATGACAGCTGATTCTTGATAAGACTGTAACCAGTATATCCTGCTCGGCAGCAGACGGGATGAACTTTGTGACAATAACGTGTAGTTTGGACTTGTTTACTCATCCCGGCTACACCTGACTGGCTCAATGGATCATGCCATTATTGCATTCATACATGTACACGACACGCTGTGTTTTCCACCTCGCTGTCAGAGGAGCAATATTTCACTTGCAGTCCATTGAAACTCAAACATGCGGCTCATTGTTGCATGGAGCCAGGGAGGCGAGAGCACGCCCTGTCTACAGTACGTGTTCAACTCACATGTTTACTTTTTAACACCTGGGTGTCCTCAATGTGACTAATCTGAGTATTTTCTATACAGGTGAAAATGAGGCCTGCTTTGTCATCATTAGTCATGGTGCCCAACTGCTGCTGTGTTGTTAGGGATGAGTATGCTTGTAGAGAAACAAGACAAAGGGGAAACAGAATAGCACAACAGACATTACCTGCTGAACTTAAAATGGTGCCTCATTGGCTGAAATTTATACCACACCACCATAAACCACAATAGCATATCTCTCCTGTGAATCGATAGTAGACAATGAATCTCCGTGTTACCAGAAATATGGGTTTAATAACCACTCCACTAAATGAGGGCTTTATTATTCCTCCTCTATTAGTTTTCATTTGATAGAGGTGTGACGAGTTGCTCTCTCCAGCTTGTGTTACAGGAAACTGGGGTGAAAAAGTCTGTGTTAATCAACTACCAGGTTTATGAGAAGCTACTTTTTGATTTAAGAAAACGCAAGTGTGAGTCTTCTCGCCAAGCTGGAGGTCGGACATTAACCTAAGAGCAACAACCGGGTCAAAGTTTTCGTTTCTCTGAAACCTGACTTTATTGTGCCTGTAAAACCAAAGCCGTGCATAGTTTTACACACTCTGCTGAACTATGTGTTCTAATTACCACACGCTGCTGTCGTGACGAACATGGTAAACATAATAACAGCTTTGCTCCTGTACTGCTATTCTGATGCGTTTCCACAAGAACACACTGTACTAGAGGCACGTTAGCATTTTATCTCACATAGCTGTCGTGTTAAGAAGGGCCCTGTTGAGGTGAGCCCTGTGTGTCTCAGCATACATAAGCATTTCTGTAGTTCACATCAATGAAACAAACTTTGTCTTCAGACAAGGCAGAAATTGGTAACTTAAACGAGTAAATAGATTAATACGATTTGTTTCTCACCCTAGCTGAGTCTTTGGATTTAAATATGCAAATAAGAAAATAAATCAACAAGCTCGCATTCAAAACTTTCGCTGATATGAGTTTTTCTTGTTTTCAAAAACACTTTATTGACATCAGAGGAAGCTGAAAAAGAACACTCAGAGTCCACTGTGACCTGGCAAGGCCTTGAATTGACTTGACTCTGTGTCAAAACCAACTAACAACCTCAAATGATTGACTAATGTCTTTTCATATTCAACACCATGTCCAAAGTATGATAAAACTGCTTCTTCTACTGAATTATAACCACTGTAGCCTTTGCTGGCATCCTTGGGAAACTCTTTCCTTACTACTCTTAATCAGGAGGATTTAGGATTAGGTTAAGATGGTTATATTTTGGTACCAAAATAATTGTTCAGATTTTTGGCAGTATCACTGCACCGTAACCGTTGTTAGGTAAGTTATTTCCTAGTTATGTTGTTTTATGTCCCACAGAACTTTGGGACAAAACATGAGAAGTGAGGCTCTCCCTTCACTGACTATCAACAGTGGAGCACTGAAAACAATCTAAATCCGTTAGTGTGGAAGCTTTTATAGTTCCATGCATTTGGGGTGGTGGAGAGGGTATTTTTTTGTTCTGCCACAAGGGCCTTGACACGACAGGCCAGCCAGTGGTCAGGCTGCCATGTGCTCACAGAGGATCTCTCCCATTGCAAACAGAAGTGAGGAGGCCAATCAAATCACTGTTCCTGCCTGAGAACATCATGTCAGTGCCAGACAGTGTGTTGTTTGGACACTGTGCACTGGGGGTTGGTGCTGGGATTTGGGAATGTACAAAAGGTCTCTTGAATCATCACATTGCTTCAGAGAGAGATATTTGTCTGTTTGCCTCTGAGTGGGATCTTTCAAAGATCACTTTTACAGCTGCTTGTTACCTTAGTAAAGGTTCAGTTGTACAATCTGCACCTGATTTCCCCATTGTCTAATTTGGCTTTCGTGCACTCGACGCCCAATGGGAGTTGATAAACACTTGCAGTTTCTACACAGCTCTGGGAAATAACACTGTGAAAGAGGAACTATACCCTCTCACTGTGCTCTCGATAGAAAAGATTGCCAGAGCACCACATGAAACACAAGAACACCACGTTTTTGTGGTGAAAGAATATGTAAAATAATACAGCCAGATGGCCCACTGAATGCCGCATTGCCTTGCTCATACTGAACACTGGGAACTTTAGTAGTGTGGGCTTTTGTGCACAACGCTGAAAGTGTGCATTCATTCTCACATGCGAGCCTCAGCTGCTGCAGGAAAGCAGGTTTTATCTTGTACCCATGAAGGAAAAGTTTAACTTTTTCACAGACAAAATCTCTTTTAGCCCGACCCTTTACAAAAATGATCCTCACGCTTCCTCAACAGAGATTAAAAAACTAACTAGAGCACATAACCTCAATGCAAAATGATCATATTTTTGTTTTAATTTTTGGATTTAATGGTTTAAAGCAGACTGTCGCCAACAGATTGAGGTTTAATGATCTTGCTTGCAGATACTGCCAATTATATCTTTAAAGAAACTTGATCAAAAGTATTTGTGAGAAGAACTGCATACACTGGGGGGAAATGGCGTCTATGATGGTACAGCATTAACCATGATGGTATTTTCTAAACCTGGCTGAGACCGATCTGCTTTTTTGCAGATCCTATGCAATAGTACAGAAGCAGAACAGGAGGTCAAAGTATACCTGCTGGTGATTGGCCTCTGTGACGTTGCAGTGGAGGGGACACAATCCCACCCCCTGCTGCTCTCTCATTTAGCTGGCATCGCAGAACGGGCCCCTCTGACCTACGTGGCTGCGGTCACTCAGCTAATTCCAGGCTCATCTGTGGAATGACACAGAGATGTGGGGCTGCTCCGCCATTGTTTGGCTGGCGTGAAAAAAGCTGCGGGGTTAATGAACACGGATATTTTCCATCAGATAGACCCAAGTATGGGTAACAGAGCCTAACGTTTCCTCATGATGTGCAGGATTTAATTTCAACCGAGCAGTCAGCCAGAGTTTTCAAACTCTAACCAAGCAATGACACTGGCAACCTTCAACCATGAAAGGCTAAACTTGTGTTTTTTCTCTTTTAAATGTCCTGCAAAGTCCAAAAGTGCCTATTTTGTGCATCCGACCAGCACTGTATCATTCTTATGAAGACTTTATAACCGCTTAAACAAAAGACATATGGTTGCCCTGTTGCAGGAGACGAGTATTCCTCCTGTAGTTATCACAATATGTCAACTAATCATTATATATATCACAAATTCTGCTAACAAAGTCCTACAACTAAAAAGTCTCCAAAAAGAAAGTTCTATGATTTTCGTTGTCTTTGCTTCCTGTAGTTCCGATGAAACAAAGAGGTGACACCTCCGCTGGTCAAAGGTAAAGCTAAAATGTAAAACAGATGTCCCTTTTTGTCTGAATTAAAGTTTCGGTTGGCAGGATTTCTCAACATGCATGTCATCAATGCAGATATCCATCAGTTTAAAGCAGCTCCCTTTAATTCCTTTGCAATGTCAGGAAAAAAAAGGGCTGCGGTGCAATTCTGAGTTGGAATCACATCCAAGGGTTTGGGTGTCCTCAGAGTCAGATGAAGACGTTTCCTGAACCTCGCGGTTCAAAACAACCATTCCAGCTTAATGGCAACACCCAAACCCAAATGAAAGCTGGTGCTTTTGAAATCAATTCTATTGCTCAACTATCAGATTCTCTAATAAGTCATTTTTTCTCCACATCGTCTTTAATAATCATAATCTGATCCATGTGCTTATCAATGTAACAGTCTTCAAACTTGCATAGTAACAGACTGGGCACGTGCTCTGTTTCCGTATGGAAGTGCTGATGTGGTGTGTTTCTGGGAGGCTAAATTCAGGGCCTTTATGGGGTCGTAAGCACCTGTTATCAAAAGCGTTCTTCCTGTCGTTGCAGGGGGTGCTGCTTATATAACCCAGGTGACAGATTGGGGTTTATAGATCAGTGTCATGTGCCGCAGAGAGACTCTCTCGGATGGATAAAAACTCTGAAATGGAGCGCGATGGTTTATAGCAGAACCCCCTAACCCATCTTCTGCATCATCCTCGCGCATGGAGACAGCCCTTGTGGTGAAACTTTCAAGTAACTCGTGCTGCTCGGTGCACTTGGGGACAAGAAGCATCCAATGAAATGAGCGGCTGCCGTGACGATGCCGGTGAGCGCTGTGGGCCTACACCACGCCCCCAGCATGGATACACCGAGCAGGAACAGGCGCTCCGGAGACGCGCGCACCATGCCGGAGATTGTTTGGAGCCGCAATGGGAGTTAACGCATCCAAGTTTTTCTAGAGTTCCTGTTATCAGCGTCGCTGGACTAAACAAAGACTTTGGTTTCTCCTTTTTCTCTGTGTGTGTGTCTCTCTCTCTCTCTCTAGAGAGAGAGGGGAGGGGGGGGTTTGTCTGCGTTTTTTTTTTTGTCCGAGGCGTTTCTCACACAGGATGTTGATGATATTGGAAAGCCGGGTAAGATCATAAAGTCAGTTCTCTCTGATGAGAACGACCTCTTCCTCACCGTTGCCAGTCCGCAAAAGGAACCATCACGGTACAAGTCCACTTTTTTTTTTTTGTTGCCCCCCTCTCCCTCCCCACGCGCCTTCGTTTTATTTTTTGAATGTCATTAAGAAGCAGAGGGGGCTGTTTCAAAGACAAAATGGATCACTTTGCAGCAGAGTGCCTTGTTTCAATGTCCAGCCGTGCAGTTGTTCACGCTCCTAAAGGCAACAGGGAGATTAAACCAGAAATCCCGTCTTCCTCCAAGAACGGAGAGGAAATAAAGGAGCCTCTGGTGAAGGATAACTCCTCGCTTTTCGTGGTGGCACGGATCCTGGCGGATTTTAACCAGCAGACTCCCAACTGTGTTGCCGAGCAGGCAAAAATAAAGGATGAGAGCATGCCGAACCTCAGAGATGATGGAAACTCTGCCACACCTACCACCATCTCCGATCCCTCGCTCAAACAAAGAAGCAAAAGATCGAGAGGTCGAACTGAGCAAGAGCCTCCTCAGAAAAAGCACAAATGCCACTATTCAGGTTGTGAAAAAGTTTATGGCAAATCATCCCACCTCAAAGCCCATCTAAGGACACACACAGGTCAGTTCGTTGGATCCACATATGCGTTGCTGTGAACACGACTTGTTTTTTTTATTTCAGCTGCATAGCTCAGATCGGATAGGAGGATATTAGAACTGAGAATTAAGATTCGAAACGTGTATCGATGCTATTTGTAGCGCCAAATTGAGCAGATGACTATGATTGCTGTAGTGGGTCACCGACCCTCATACAAGGGTCCACCTTCATCTGAAATGATGGGGGCATTCGGAGGGGTCAGACCCGGTTTAGGCTTACTGTTCATGTTTGTAAAGTTGTGTGAACTTTGAAATGTCCTTAAATTTCTGGGGAGCAAAGGAAGAGGGAGGCGGGAGAGGGGGGGTCAAAAATAGTGCCACTCCCACTCAACTGAGCTTTGTCACGGCTTCCCATCTGAGCCCCCCCACGCTGCAATCGACGGTGTGCACAAACAGAAACTGCAGAGTAAACGCGGAACAAAAATCAAGCCCCTCTTTTTTTTGTTTCGCGTTTATTCCACTTTTATTCGAGCTCCACACAAAAGAAATCAATGCACAACAAACACCGGGTAACGTCGCAGAATAAGCCGAGTGTGCATGGGCATGCAGAAAGTTTGCAGGGTCAGTCCATAGGAGAGAGAGGGGGGGGGGGGGGGGAAAAAAAATCAAATCCGCTTCTCCATTAGCAGTGCGTGGCGTGTGACCTTCCCGAATGGAGCCCATTTGCGCTTTGCATTCCGCAGGATAGGGCGTAGAGAGGTGGTGCTGCTGGTGGGAAGGGTGGGGAGATATGGATCGACTCAAATTGGGGGGGGATTGATAAGAGCTGTGCAGTCGCCTGTCTGCCCACAGCCCTTTGTTATGATGTGCCACACCCCCGCTAGACAGACTGCCAGCTGATCTGGCCAGCAACAGACTCGGCTAGCTGAGCCTCGACTGAAGAATCGCTGGCTCCCTCCTGATCTGTGTACCGCAGCTCACGCCTCATCTCTCCACTCCTCTCCGTGCGCGCACACAGCCGCATGCATCATCTTGACATAGCAGAAAGAAAACAGCTCCCTTTACCACGGGGGAACATGACCCACATATGAGCCCCTGACTGTAGAAAACACTTGTGTGCGCAACAAGAAGAGGCCGATAAACAAAATAGCATGATGTGATGGACACTTTTAAGCCAATTAGCACTTCTCCCTAATTTGTCTTTTGGTAAGCAGATTCTTAATCTTTCAGAGGCATTGCTCCTCACTGACACGTTTAATAAAACAATGCGTTGTGTGAAACACAGTAAGGTTTCCTGCAGGGTTGGTGGGTTTTCATTTGGTATGGTCTGAAGTCAGGTTTTTGTTGTTTGACATCATTTTCTTTAACAGATGTAGAAAATAGGTAAACATGTCCACTGGTTTGACATACAGCATAACACGGGGTCTCTAAAACCACTGTATTTCTCGTTTAATATCCATTGTGCCACATGCCTGTCGCCCTTTCTGAGCGTTTCCTTTGTTTTTTGAGGAACCCTCCCATGTTTAGCTGATTGGTCGTCGTCTTATCACTTCTGTTCATAGGGACGATTTCTGCTTATTTGATTGGTAAGTTCCAGAAGGTCTCGTTTCTGCTGCCTGCTTTCAGACAAAGTTGCAGTAGCAAGGTCAGAGTCGTCCTCCTGCACGCAGGCCGCCTCCCTTCCACCCAGACAAGAGAGTTTAGTGCAGTTTTATTGCCCCGCGCTCGCCCTGCTGCTGTGTCTCTGTGCCTATTAAGCATTTCCTTTCGCCTGCCTCTCTGTTTGGATACGCTCTGGCGTCCGGCCTCAGGATTGGGCTGTGTCCTATAAATTCTGATAATAATGACTCCCTCTGCCTGCTTGATTGGGTAGGCCCAGAATGTGGGTCATCCGAGTTCAGCCAGGCTCCCTCAGCCAATCTTGCAGTGCTTTCATGGAGTCAGACTCTGGCAGCACGTCCCCTCAGCCCCTACCAGCAGAGTCAAGAGAGAACGATCACAGCCCAAACACCGCTCTCTAATTGAGGAGGGAAACACTGTAATAGACACCAAACAAAGAGCCAAGGACAAGATGTCCTTACTTGGCCTCTGTAACTTCCATTTCATTATCCTTGAATCTGCCAATTTTGCATATTTCATATGACAGACGATTTCATCTTATTTTTTACAACTACCTGAAATCATAATTTGATGAGTATTGTCCATTCATGCTGCTTGATTTGTTTGTGTCTTGCATGCTACTGAACTCTTCTTAATGGGACCATATGTTAGCCAGAAGCTATAACTACTTTTCTTGTGGGGACGCTTGGATTGTCAATCCAGCCATCGTAAAATCTGTTTTTGATATTCATTCGGAGCAGCGAATGGTTTTCATTTATAGTGGCAGAAAATAGCTGTCCACACAGAGGCCAGTCGATTATAAGCAAGTTACTGGGACCTGTATGCTTTTAGTGAATGTTTTTAAAAGGTCCTGTCTGAGGATAACCTCAGTGTAGACAAGTAGGTTTCAGTGTAATGTGTCCTCTCTAATGCACAGTTCACAGAGGGCATTAGGATGGAGCAGACATAGGAGTATACACTGAATTTAAATCACTCATTATGGTGCATTGAGTTTGATGGTGAGGAACCCGCAGCCGTTCAGGGGTCTAAGGTTACTAGACAGCTTTTGTCTGGAGTGGGAGGTGGAGCTTCCCTGCTGCAAATATCCTGTGGTATGGGAAACACAGTCATATAACACTGTTGTACGGATAATGGCGCGTTTGACAGACATTTCAAAAGGGCCTCAGATGCCTTTTTATGACTTCTTAAAGTCTGGTTTTTCAGTATTTTTTCCCCTTCTCTGTCTCTTTATCTCAATAAATTCAACCTACTTTCTTAAGAGGTGTCCCCTGGCCCTGGAGTACATAATGTTCCCTGTGAAGCCTCATTACTTTGCTCAGGTCATGTCATGCAGACTGCCGTCCTCAGATAAGACAAGGCTCCTCACTCTTGTTCAGCTCTGATCGCCCGTGCACCCCACAGACAGGTCTTACAAAAGAACATCTTGTCAGTGTGCACTGCCTATTTGAAATCTATTGGACCCACAGGGAGGAGCAGGGTCAATATTTCTCAACGACAAAGAGTATAATGACATATTTTACAGTTGGGTTGATGTTTTGTTTGAACCTCCTTTGTGTGCTGCTGGGGCACCTCTAATGCTGTGAGATGGCTGTAAAGCCCTTTAGTGTGCTAAAAAAAAAAAAAAAAGAGGCACCACCTGGCAGCACAGTTCCACTGCCACGAAGACCCAGTTATTCATATGTGCTACCTATTTTAAGCCAAATAACTGTGGTTAATGGCGTTTTTTTTATGTGAAATTATCCCAAATTCCACATGGAAAAAGCAGCAGGAGTCTGATTATATATGCTTAATCCCTGCCAGTGGTTTTATATTTGGCTGCAGTGTAACAGAGTGCGCAGTGTTCATGTGTGGCTGGTGGCAGGGATGAGGTAGCAGGGTGGAGATTGGGCTTTCCTGCCCTTGCTTGAGGCTTACTGTGGCACAGCAACGGGTAAGAACTCCACAGGGGAAGAAGAGGTCAGTGTGTCTACCTGCCACACGACAGGATTTCCACCACAGCTCTCAGTCAGGCCACGTCGTCCCAGAAATGAGGGCTTCGGATTTGTGTGGCGCTTCACTTCTTTTAACCGGGTTTTACGGTTCAAAGAAGTGGAATCTTAAAAATACCTAGATGGTGCAACAGATGGCTGACCGCTCTTATTTTCACCTGCGTACTGCAGTGTTTTCTACACCTGCAAACAATAGCATTTCTCATGAATGGAACTTGGTTCGTTCAGGAAGCTCAGTAGAGTATGTGTTCAGTGGAAACAAAGGAATTAGTGAAATCTACCTTAGGATGTAAATAAATCCAGAGTGGTGCCACCATCTTGCCTGCTAATCCTCTGGTGCAGTGTTACTGCTCCATGGAAGACATCTTTGTGGCTTGCGCACATGTTACCCGCATGCTATCCTGCATGTGCTGATAGTGGGCCGGATCCTAGCCCCTCTTTGAATATAAGCCTGATCTGACTGTGATTAAGCAGCCATGCATGCACTGTGAACGGTGGTAACAGTGAATGTCCTCTGTCAGGCCATGCTCTGGCTGTGCTGCTTTCACTGGCCCACAGGGGTCATGTATTCTTTAGTTAGCGCTGAGTGGCTCTATAAAAGCTGCTCTATTCCCCACCAGCCCTTCCCAGCCTTTTCCAGCCGGTGAGTGGAGCTAGGTGCTGTGAGGTCGAGCTCTGGCCACGTCTTTGGGCACGCTGTTGATCACGAGCCATGGGAAGAGACGGATGCAGACCTGTGGAACACTGCTCCCCCCCCCCCCCTCCAATGTTCAAAACCTGTCAGCCACATCTTGCATGTGAGGGAGGGACCTGCAGCACAAAGACAGAATGTACAGTAGAGTGCAGCAGGATGGGGGTGGGGTGAGATACCAGGATATTCACTGTCAATGCCATCCACTGATGTAGGTCATTTATTCAACCGCAACTGCAGTTAATCTGATTAACGTTTGAGGGGCTGTGACCTCAGCAGCACAACCCTTCCTGGTCAGGACGTCACTGGCAGGGCCCAGGCTCTACCCTGCTGCATTCTAAGGGCTTGAACAGGAGTGGAAATATAGACATTTCTGTGCAGCTAATGTTGGAGGGAATGTTTTCTCTCTAGCTGTGGTGCCTGCTCTCTCCAGTATGTAAGGTGTGTCCCCCTCCTCTGCGTGATAAATCAAACCGTGGCAGACCGCAACACACTGGGGTGTGGTCCACAGGACAAATTGAGCCGTATTTTTTGGAGCCTTGGTGAAAGAGGGCCTAATGGTTTTCTCTGTGAGATGTGAGAAGATTTCCCCCCCGCCCTGGCTATCCAGAGTATCAGCAGTTGCATATTGTGACATATGACACTATCTTTAACCTTTATCTTCTCTTATCACGCAGTAGTGTACCCTGTCAGGATTTGGCAGTTCTTTGTTTGGTGCCTGTGAAGGATGTTGATCTCATGCTAGCTGGGGTGTCACACTTTATCTGTGAAATGAATAGACTTTGTGCTGCTAAGAGTCATAGACAATGGGGCATCCCTGCTCCCAACTGCTTCTGTGGACCACCTGTAAATACCCTCTAATGAATGGAGTGTTTACGTTGTCTCAGTTAACTTTAAAGGATGCAAACAATGTCTGCAACAGCCTGACAGAGAGGCCAGATTTCTAATAAATGAGCCAAATGTGATGAGCTGGTCAACGCATTGACGCTATATCTGCCTTTCCCTGAAACAGTTGAGTGGTTGAAGTAATGCGAGGCAAAGTGTGGCCAGTAATCAGATATTCACACTCGACCCCATTGCACATCTCCGTGTGAATGTCAATAGCCCCGCATGCAGACCAGGAGAGTGAGTTACGGTCAGTACGTCTGATTGAAATGCATTATAGCGGGGGCCCTGTCCTGCTGGGGGCAAGGCCGCCGCCATTGTTCAACAAAGGGAGGCACGCTATTCAGTCATAAGCAAGGTCCCTCTCGATCAAGACAAAAGGTGATAATGCACTAAAGAGTCAATGTTGTCTGAGCTTTCTCACGACAAGTTTGAACTGATTCTCAGTGAGAGCACCTGATCTACCGGCAGAGCCCTTTGTTGCTCCTGCACATTTCGTTGGAAACTGACTCTGAGAAAACGCCTTGTAGTCAAGTGATTTTGTTCGTCATTTGCCTCCCCTTCCACCGAGCTGCTTTTCATAGAGCAAGAGACGCATAAACAGTTGCTCTGATCGCAGATGTGTTTCAAATCAAGCGGCGTGTTTCTAGAAACCGCAGAACTTTTCATGTCTTTGTTGTTATTTTTGCACATGCAAAGCCTCCATATAATGCCTTGCTAACAATGAAAGGAGGAGCTGCAGAGGTCTCAATGTATATTTATTGTTCTGCACACACATGTTAGTGTTTATATCGTCCTGGCATGTGAGGGTGCATGCAGACTGAGGGGCTGGGTTAACCCCGTCTGCTCCAGTGGTTTTTGCAGATGGAGGACTCTGCAGTCATTTTAGTGTTTCTCCGAATCCCATGAATGGTCTGTCTGCTGGCAGGGATGTTTGCTCCTGGCTGCTTTCAGTTTAAGGTCTGTTGTAAACATAAAACCAAATTATAGGACTGCGCTGAGCTCCACCACTGGAATTAGTGGTGTCCCCCCATACTTAATGTTGCCAAGCTGGCTCTGCCACCGAGCAGGCACCAGAGCAAGGTAGCTCACGCGCTAATGTAATGTGATCCTCAGACTGACTCCAGCTTTACGCTCTCCTCTTGAGTCATTTGCTATGAAAAGTCACAAAGGTTTTTGTCTTGTTTTTGTTTTTGGCTCTGTTAGATATTTCCTGCTCTGGTTCTTGCTGTGCAGGTGGAGCGAAGTTAACCTCAAAGTAATCTGTGATTCATCCACAGAAGCTTTACTTTTCCTTCTCACACAGCCAATCCGTTGACTCTACCTAACTAAGGATGGGGGTCACGTGGGGGTTTCAGGTGTACGTTGTGTGCTTCTGCCCGAGGACACATCAGGAATGTTATCTAAATTTGGCTGAAATGCTGGTAGGTGATCAAGTTCAGTTCCTGCACTTCTGCCTACGTCAAAACGAGACCTGATCTTGTCTTTGCACATAGCATCCCTTACAGCTGGGAGACAGGTTCCATTCCCCCTGACGGTTTTCTGCGGAAGGCACTCGGATATGAATGAGAGGGGGACGGACAGATGAGCTGCTTATTTACTGACCCACTGGACTCGGGGAGAACAGTTATATAAGTGGAGTACCTGTGACATAATCGCTCCGCCTTGGAGGGGGGACACGAGTGCTTAGTAGAGGTGCGGTTGCCTGGATGATGTAACTCACTTTATGGGTAACTGGGTCACTGTGTTCGTTAGGGAAAAGCTCCCATCGGTCCTCCTCCCCCCGCACCCCCCCCCACCCTCTGTCACTGCCACATTCTGAGAAAGGCAAGCCACACCCTGGATGTGGCACACAGCCAGAGGCAGAACGACCTATGGCCGGACCAGACATCATGGCCACCGCGGTATCCTGCTCTGACAACACTGTAACAAGATCTTTAGAAAAAGTGGGCCAAGGGGGAGCAGCCAGTGGCCCGCTTTTTTTTTTCTCCTTCTTTTTCCTGGAGTGATGCTGAGTAATTGCTGCAGTCGATTAAAATAGCAGGGACAGTGAGGTCCACCTGCCACACTTGGTTTAATGAGGCTCCTCCACTAAGGCTCCTCTGAGTTACCACAGCGATATTCACCAGGGTATCTCACCTGTTTTGAAGCAGGCACAAAAGAGTTGGGACAGCGCAAAAGGGTTTTATTGATTTTTATCAAGTATCACACCTTGGTCGAGATGGGTTCCAAATAAATTCGACCCATCCCATTGAATTGCCGTTGGATACCTGATGCTTCCACTTATTGTCACCGTATCAGGACAGCTAGTTTGGATATCTCAGCCCAGCTCTCTTGTGTCTGTTTAAAAATGAATGTAGTTGGATCTGTTACACTGGTTGTTAAGCCTTAAGCAGCCTGAAGAGCTAAGCTCCACTTTTAGTCCAATAACTGGTTTTGAAGTAACAGCAGGCCGCCAAAGCTCTTTCTCTTGCTAATGTATTATGAAAGCGGTCCAACGCGTGGCCCCCAGAATTTATACTGTTTCTTGACAGGTCTAATCAATTGTTCATAATGAGGTTGGAGCGACCAGGAATGTTTTATTTTATCCATCTTTATTGTAGCCTTCATTTTATGTAAATCTTAAGTGTGGAAACAACAGGTAAAGACACAATCCATTGTGTGTATGTGTCACTTACAGAGTGTAAAAGCATTGAGCCCTGCATGAACATGAACCCACAGGAACTGTGGTGGGTAGGGCAGACTGAGTTTGTCTGGAGCTGAGGTGAGGCGTCACAGGCAGGAACACAGGCCATACTGTCTAGACTTGCTCTGTCTGTCTGCATGTTTTGTAACGATGCAGTATAGGGGGGAGGGACCCAGACTAGTAGTGCACCAAGTTCTGTTTTTTAAGACTCTCTGGCATCAGGTAGCATTTGAGTGTTTGATGCTGAATAGCTCTGTTTCCATTGGGGCACAGAGTGAAACCACAGAACAAATAAAGCCCTTGGCAGGTCTGTCCTTTATGTGTCATCTATAAACAATCATACATCTCAACATCTTTTCCCTTTCATGCTTCAAATCACTGGCTCGGGAGTGTACGTGAGGCCATAAAGGTCCTATCCGTTCCTATAGGTCTGAAACGCTGGATGTTTGATTTGATTTGTTCTGTAAGAATGCTATGGAATTAAAACGATAAAACAAAACATCAAACATACTGGCAAAAAGATAGAGACCGCCGAATGTAGGTTTGATGCTAACACACACATGAAAATACCAGACAGCGATATATATACTACCATCTGGCTTTGAGTAGATTTGTCTCAAAGCCCATTTTTATCGCCTGATGGCGGGGGAAGGTTGTAATTTCCCATGTGCTGAGTCACATATAGTTGCATGTTAGAGAATGGGCCGGGTAATAATTGTGAGCATGTGATAAGTATCTGGAGCTTTGATAATTAAACTGTGTCTGCTGCTCCAGAGCCATGCCAATTTTTTTGTGATTTATCCGAAGTCTTGTTACAGCCTATTAGTCCCATGTCTCATATAATTGTGTTGTTATCTCGGTGGTTTTTAATTTCCTTTCCCATTCCGATTGATCAGTCATACTGTATGGTATAACTTTGTGATTGCTGTTTGTGTATGAGTCACCAGTCCCTGTGATGAGCTGTATGTTATATTTATAAAACCTTACAATCAGAGTGCAGAAGCGTGCACACTGTGGCGGTTACACTCATACAGACACTAATAGTCCTACTGAAACGTTTTAGCCCTTACATCCCCTTCAGTTTACATTCTTACTCAGCATCCTAAGAATAGGACTCAAAATTTAAATCGGATTAGGACTGTGTTGTTTGAACCTTGGCTCCTCAACTAGCACATTTCTAACTTCGTTAGATTGTCCATTTGGTGTTTTTCATGTACTCCAAGACGCATCATGAAATGAGCAGTTGAACCTTTCTCCCTGGAAATGATCTGTATGAGCCTCCGTCTCTAAGATATTGGATCTTACAAACAGGAATTCACAATTAACAAACCTAACTTCAACATGTGCGGTGGAACTAAAGTCAGCCTCACGTTGTTAGCAGTGTGTTTACAACAGCACATGGCTGAGTTGGACTGCATACAGCAGAATTTAAAATAAGCATGGTGAAAACTGAATGATACATGTACAAAAACTGTATTGGAGATGGTTTCTCCCACTGTAAGTCACAAATATATTTTATGTGTGTGAACATCCATTCATGCAGCTTTGACTAAAACAGAGAAACCATTTTATTGAGGAGATTTCATATCAGTATTAACGGCCGAATTAAAAAGAAAAAAGCGTAAAATGTTGTAATTCTAAGCAGGTGTTCTTGTTAGAACAATTTTCTCATAGCTTTCTCTGCTTTGTAGGTGAACGGCCCTTCCCGTGCACTTGGCCCAACTGCAGTAAGAAGTTTGCCCGCTCCGACGAGCTGGCCCGGCACTACCGCACCCACACGGGAGAGAAGAAGTTTGTCTGCCCTCTGTGCGACAAGCGCTTCATGCGCAGCGACCACCTGATGAAGCACGCCAGGCGCCACTCGGATTTCCAGCCCGGCATGCTGAAGAGGCCCCACGCCAGCAGCACCAAACGTCCCAGCTCCCTCAGCGACTACAGCCGCTCGGACGCCTCCAGCCCCACCCTCAGCCCCACCCTCAGCCCCGCCAACTCGCCTTAAATTCAAACCCCGGTCGCACTTTTCTGCCTCGACATTTTGTTGCATAGTTGTCTGCAACCCCCCCCAACCCCGCCCCCAACCCCACCCCACCCCCAAAAAAAGCCCTTTGCTATTTCTGCGCTTGCTGTGGTGTACTATACTGTACATAACTGCTTATTGTAGTGCAATTACCTGTGTGATCCGAAAAGAAGATAGTGCCGTTCCCAGATGGCGATATCTACATTCTGTACCACATGTCTGTATTTTTCTAGCTTCTGATCATGGCTAGTCGCATAGTGTAGTTTCACAGTTCGGAGAAAAAGAAGAAGAAAAGAAAAAAAAAACAACAGATGCCCTGATAAGTTTAATCAAAACGATTTTGTTTGTTTTTTTTATGATTCACTTTTCTTTGTTTTTGGAACGGGTTAGGAGAAGGGGTACACACACACCTCAGGATTGAAGACAGTTGCTATTTCTGTAAAAACCACAGTACTTATGAGTACTTTCATCGACTGCACAATATACTCATCACTTTACTCTGGAATTCAACGGGAGTTGAATTTTATGCCCTGCTCAGGGATGGCCTTGTTAGCTTGAAAGAATGAACATGGTGAAGAGAAACATAAAGTACATATATTGCAGCCTTACACTCAACACAATTTGCACTCTATGCTTCTTTGTTGGCTTTCACATTCAAGGAAACAAGCCCTACAGTCACATGGTAATTTATACTCGAAGGTTAAGTTCTTTTTCTATCTCCTAATCTGAAGGGGTTCTTATGGAATGAATAGCAATTTCTGTGTTTTGAGAAAACAATCTCTATCCCCGTCTTCTTAAGGGAATGACATAACTGTTCCCTTACTGCAATGTTATTATTCATGGACCTTACACTGGCTTAGATGTGTGTTGCATTAAATACTTTTGTGCAGTCATTAAACTCTGCACCGAGGGAGGAGTGGATGATATTGGACTAATATTTCTTTTTTTTTTTTTATAAATGTAGTTAAAAAGTAAAAAAAAAAAAAGCTTCTTGACCTTTAAATGTGGAGGCAGTTAAGTTTCAAAGCAGCTGTTCAGGCTTTAAAAAAAAAGCTGTCTCATCAGCACAAATTTTAAAAGGCAAAATGGGAACAAAGGGACTAAAAGCAAGGTTTATTCATCTTTGAAGCACACAGTGGGGGAAAGAAAAAAAAAGTACCAAAGACACGAGTGAATGAAAGCTTTCCATTCAGCCCCGTAAGCTGCTCTTCACTGAGCTGTGGAGCTGCCGGTTGGCAGGTAGAGCCGGGCGCCTGCTCACTTCCCGCCTCCCGGCTCTGCCCCAGAGGAAACAGCTGCACCCAAAAGAAGCTATTCAGAGCCTGCTGGAGGCAGAGCAGGCAATGCCTTCCCCAGGGGACTCCTTTTTCATCTGGCTCTACCTGCTCTGTCACGGAGTTGTAAAGCTCAGAGCCGGCCAACTTTTTCTTTACGGGTTGCCTAACTCAGAGGTCGAACGCGGGCCAGAGTGTTTGGCAGCTTGGCTTCGGCTGCAACATCGTGGAGCACATGGGGGAACAAAGCAGATATCTGCAACAAACAGGCAAGAGAGAGCAGGCCCCTGATAAAAATAGGAGAGGTTTATCACAAGCCCAACAGCACAAAGGAGGAGACGAGCAGTCGCAGATACCCCCATTTCCTCCTCCTTCCCCAGCAGCCCTCCTCCCTCCAACTGTAGAAACAGCCAGCAGAAAAATGGCTGTAATTAGTGGCTTGATCTAAAATGTAGGATGAGAGGAAAACGAGAAGAGTACGAACAACAGTTGGAAGTCGACAACACTAGTAACGTGGGTGGGATGTACTCAGCTGCATCCCTAAGCACAAACAGAATTCCTCTTCCTCAGCTCCAGAGTCAAATTTCACAATGCCAAGGAAACCAGGGTTCTAAGCTCACACGGATCAACCCCAACTCCCAAACAGCTGCTTTCAAACTTCTCTCTCATAACATGGGGGCTCTTAAACTGCTTTAAAAACATTTTGAACCAAATTGAACATATCAGCAAAGCGCAGAGCACATCTAGGCCTCACGTCATCCAGCACGCGAAGCTCAGATGAACCGTGAGAAAGCCGACTTGTGTTTCTAGACAGACATGCCTCAATAAGTCAGGCGAAAGGCACAGTAAACCTTCCATGCAAACAGGCACCGCTATCAAAACTGCTGCCACCCCACCAGTCTGTGTTATGCCTGCATTTCTTTTAATGCTTCACTGCTACAGTTGGAGATTGTACCATCCGCGTAGTTCAGTCTTGTCCGACTACTTCAGAGTTACTGCCATCATGAATTTCACGAGGGAACTCGACCCAACCAGCTCCTGACTCAGACACGCTCTATGCATGTAAACTGCGCCTTGAAAGACAGCGAAGAGCTTTTTTTTTGGGGGGGGGGGGGGGGGGGCGATCTGGCAGGTGTAAGTCCATGAATGGCAGTCCTTGTCCCTCACTCTCCACCACAGCTATGCGTCCTTTAACTACCAATGAATCCGCTCTGTCACATTCTCCAGAGAGAAAACAACCCCTTATTTCAATCAAATTCTGTGGTTTACTCAAAACGCCACATTAAAGAAAAAAGAATGAAAGTAAGGGAGAAAAAAAGTCAATAGTTTGGAAGATGTTGGATTAGTTTCCAGGCTGCAACATGACACTTTGAATGCCACTGATCAGCAGCTCTCAGAGTTTATCCGTATGCCATTTCTTAAACGAAAATGAGTACGTCAGAAATCTGTTAAAAATCTGCTTTTTTTCATGTCCATGACTTTCTTTTTTCATTCTGATTTTGACCTGGTTTAATTATAAAAAAAGAAAAAGTTCACCATCAAACAATCAATTTTTTAATCTGTAATCTGCACATTTTCCTCAGGGTTGACTTCTGCCGAGCAGATATGGGACAGTTTGTAGATTTAGTTGTTCCATCGGTTCCTGCACACGTATATCAGCCTGCCTCTCCCTGGTGTTCCTGGGTGCTTAGTGTCCGCTGCTGGTCAGTGTCCAACCACACTGGAAACACAGGAACACCTCAGGGCAGGCACCAGGCGCTTTGCCTATTACTTGTCTTCACACACAGTCCTGTTATTGATGTACTCTGGAGCTCTTTTCAGTGAAATGCCCCTTTAAACACCATTGACCCTTACAGTAAGTGGAATTACAGAACAGGAAGCTCCTATCACCTGAAAATAAAGTGACTGTGACAGGATAAAGATCCCAGTCTATCTATCCATCCATCCAGACCGCAGCAGTGACATGTAGGCGTCCACAGGCAGAGTCTGGAAACTTTAACTCTCACTGTAACAAATGTACTTGAATATTTCCAACACAAAAGGCCATTGAACAGTTTTGTACATGTCCAGTTTTACTAGACTGGCTTTTGTTGTCTAATGATTAACTCCGCTCAAGAAAGACGCATAGTCGCCTGCTCTGTAGTTAGTTTTTTCATGTTTTTCATTTCTAGATTTTCGATTTGTTTTCAGGTCATTTCTGTGGGTTTTTTCCAACTCATCTCGTGTATAGATTGACTGCTTTTGTTTGAGCAGTCTGAGTGCGTAATTTTTGTTCAGATCTGGACTTTCTCTTAATTAAGAGAAGGGGTTTACCCCTTTAATCAGGAACATTTAATGATCTGTTGATGTCAGGATACAGGTTATACGGCCTGCTGTCCACAAATTCCTTTTAGTCAGGAGGAACAGCAAACCTTTGGGTGGGTGAACACTTCTTGACCTCTATGTATGTCAGTTTCATACTAAGTAATTAATTTGCATTATTTTCTTAGATTATGTATAAAGGTTTTCCATAAACATAGAGACCACAGCATTGTGAGTTAGCAATGTAGTCATTTTCTTTATTATTCTTGTTGATTTTATCTCATGACATGTTCAAGGTTGTACATTTTAAAAGAAATCATACCTCTTGAAATATTTGACTTTTGTTTTACCTTCATATCTTTTAAAAACATCTTCCATGTAGCTTGTTTTTCTGATGCGTGGCACGATTATTAATTTTATTGGTCTCTACTTGAATGAAGAAGAAAAAGAAGAGAAATAGAGACTTTTTTCTGTAAAGACAAAACAAAACACTGGGCTACATTTTATGAAACCACCCTATGTTGCCAGGTTCTGCAAATCTTTGAAGAGAACATAAGTAATGTTTCCTGAATTATACTCATAAAAGAAAATCCTATAATTATTATTTTATGTGAGAAAAATATAAACATCCTTACCATCCTCCATACTCTTATTTTAAACTTTTTTAAATTAAAACTTTATGTTAGTCATTGTAGTAAAAACACAGATATCTGGCAAAATATAACAAACATAAAAAGAGTTTGAAAGAACAGATAGATGCAAGGTTTCAAGATACTAACTGCACCAGTTAATATTTTATTCTAATTGTAAAAATAACATAAAAGCAAATGAATTGTTGCCAAGTATGTAAACAACTAACAGTTTATATTTAATTCATATTAATGTCAACAACATGTCACTGATCAGTGTCTGCAGAAGGACGACCATGATCAACACAGTTGTGTGCCAAAACTATTGTGGTAACTTCATAAAGAGGATACAGATGGTGGGAGTAAATAGTCTAGCTTCTATCGGACATTTAACAAACTTGTACAGTTTTAAAGAGTGCAACATGTCTTTCTGTTATGTACAGGATTTAGTGAAGCAACTCTGCGTATTTGATATGCAGCTGCTCTAAGTTAATTTTTTCCCTCTTTGCTTCATGCAAAATTTTGAATGTGTAGCTTTCTTTTCATTATTTAATTTTGTCCTTTTTTGTGTTGCTGTTCAATACTCAAGCAGTGTATAATGGCTTATAGCAGGTATTTTTAACGTTTGACAGTCTTAATGTTGATAGGCGCCCAACCATTCCAAAGGATTGACGGTGGCATTTTCTCTAAATGTACTGCTTCTATCGTTCCAATACATTTTTGTAGCTTATTGATATCTGTCCTGACTGTCAGGTTTTACACATTGTGAGTTGTCCACCAGGTACGTTTCTCCCACATTGTCAAAGTCTCCAGGGAGCATGTCTTCCCTCTGGACAAAGTCCTGA